TGAAATAATATAAGAAAACAGATGGTGTGGCTGATAAAATGTAGGAAAATGGCTCTGTTTAAATAAAAATATGTTGAAAGGTCTTATTGGTTTTTTTTATTGTATGTTTAGATGTCATATCACTTAAGTTTTAAAGTAAATAATTTTAATGGCAATTATGGTGCTGTAAACATTTTCATGTATGCAATTATACGCGGATTTTGCATTTTTTTGGGTAAAATGTATTAACAATCTATTAAAGTTATATACCACTGTATAGAGCCAAAAATTTACTATCAATATGGCCACTATACAGTTTATTTATTAGTACCTCTATATTAATTGTACAAAAAAATGTTAAAATTTATATTGGAGTATTTGATGGACCAAAATTTTGAATGAAAGTTAGTCTGAGTTGGTCTCAAGTTTGCAAAAGATTCATGTAACCTAATAAGAAGTTGATCTGCGTCGACCAAAGATTTTGATTTAAGAAAGAATTCTCCTGGAAGACGAAGAAGTTGTCCAAACACAAGCTCAGCAGTAAAACATCCCAGATCTTTTAAAAACGATCTATTGCTTTGCGGACGGTAAACAGAAGTGGTAATTTGTGTAGCACCAGTATTAGAGACATCTGTTGTTAATGTCAAGTTGGCTGAAGGATTCGGATGCGCGATATACAGGAATATATCCAAGAATTTCAGAAAAATTGGGAACAAATCCGTGAAAGAAATTGCTCATTCCAAGAAATTTCTGGAGTTCTTTCAAATTTTGAGGTTGAGGAAAATTGCTTCAATTTTTGATTGAGTTGGACGAGAACCTTGGAAGATATGATGGCTTAAAAGATCTATTGAACTTACTCCAAAAGTTATGGAGCGATGAATCAAATTTAGACCCTCGCTATACTTTAAAGACCGTAAAACATGGTGGAGGAAATATTATGGTTTGGGCTGCATTTTCGTGGTTTCCTATTCGTTGGATAACTCAACGAATGGACCAACATTTATACCAAGACATCATGGCGAATACAATGAAGTCATTTGCGGATGAATATATGCCTGTCCCATTCATTTTTATGCAGGATAACGATCCAAAGCATACTGCTAGAAGCGTTAAAGCAAGGTTTTCTGCCGAAAACGTTAATGTTTTGGATTGGCCTGCCCAGAGTTCCGACTTAAACCCAATTGAAAACCTCTGGGCAAATGGTGAAAGGGCTCTGGAAAAGAAAATAAACAACAATGCTGATGAATTGTTCAAAAATGTAAAGAAAATATGGCAGAATATTAAAATCGAACGACGTCACCCTTTAGTAGCTAGTCTTCCTCGAAGGTGCAAAAACGTTCTTAAATTAAGGGGTTATCCTACTAAATATTAGATTTAAATGAAAATTTACATTTAAAACGTTGTTAATTAATTAATTGTTAATTTATAAAAAAACTTAGTGTCCTTAATTAGTTGTCCAAATTAAAATAGCCAATATGTATTTATTTTATACATATATTAATAGCCAATAATGTATTATTTTCGTTCGTGTTTCAATAATTACATGAATTATAAGATAATAAACATCATTTTTTTCGTTCAAGTACATGTGGTAATTACACGTGCACTTTGCAGTTTTTGAAGGAAAAATGCTTCTGCAACCATGTGACCTACAAAATTTATTTATCACTATATAGAGCGGAAATTTTACTGTAGATTTTATATGATCATAGAGTTTTCTGCATCATATAAGAAAGTTATGATGCTCCAAAAAAATATACATACGGCAATTATACGCGAATTTTAGAGTTTTTGGGCGGAAAATGTTTGTGGAACCATGCAATCCATTAAAGTTTTATACTACTGTATAAAGTGGAGAATTTCTTAAGCATTCTATATGTTCAAGGAGTTTTTTTGCATCATATAAGAAAGTTATGATGCCGTAAACATTTACATGTGCTAATTATACGCGAATTTCGATGTTCTTGAAGGAAAAATGGTTCTGCAACCATGCGATCCACAAAATTTATATGCCACTGTGTAGAGCGGAAAATTTCCTATACACTCCATAAGTTTGTGGAGTTTTGTCCGTATCATATAAGAAAGTTATGACGTCGTAAACATTTACATGTGGCAATTATACGCGAATTTTTCAGTTTTTGATGAAAAATGGTTCTGCAACCATGTGATCTACAAAATTTATATACCACTGCATAGAGCGGAAAATTTACTATGGATTCTATATGGTCACAGAGTTTTTTGCATCATATAAGAAAGTTATGAGGCCATAAACATTTACATGTGGTAATTATACGCGAATTTCGCAGTTTTTTAAAGAAAAATGGTTCTGCAACCATGCGATCTACAAAATTTATTTACCACTGTATAGAGTGGAAAATTTACCATAGATTTTGTATGGTCACAGAGTTTTCTGCATCATATAAGAATGTTATGATGCTCTAAACATTTACATACGGCAATTATACGCTGATTTTGTAGTTTTTTTGGGGGAAAATGCTTACAAAATTTATATACCACTGTATAGAGCGGAAAATTTCCTATACTTCCTATATAGGCACAGAATTTTCTGCATCATATAAGAAAGTTATGATGCTATAAACATTTACATGCGGCGATTAAACACTGATTTTTTAGTTTTTGGGGGATAAATGCTTGTGGGACCATGCAATCTACTAAAGTTATATACCAACTGTATAAAGTGGAAAATTTCCTATAGATTCTATATATTCACAGAGTTTTGTCCGTATCATATAAGAAAGTTATGACGCCGTAAACATTTACATGTGGCAATTATACGCGAATTTTTACAGTTTTTGAAGGAAAAATAGTTCTGCAATCATGGGATCTACAAAATTTATATACCATTGTATAGAGCGGAAAATTTCCTATACTTTCTATACAGGCACAGAGTTTTCTGCATCATATAAGAAAGTTATGATGCTATAAACATTTACATGCGGCGATTAAACACTGATTTTGTAGTTTTTGGGGGATAAATGCTTGTGGAACCATGCAATCTACTAAAGTTATATACCAACTGTATAAAGTGGAAAATTTCCTATAGATTCTATATGGTCACAGAGTGATTTGCATCATATAAGAAAGTTACGAGGCCATAAACATTTACATGTGGTAATTATACGCGAATTTCGCAGTTTTTGAAGGAAAAATGGTTCTGCAACTATGTGATCTACAAAATCTATATACCACTGTATAGAGCGGAAAATGTCCTATACATTGCATAAGTTTACGGAATTTTCTGTATCATATAAGAAAGTTTTGAGGTCATAAACATTTATATGCGGCAATTGTACACGAATTTTGCAGTTTTTGAAGGAAAAATTCTTCTGCAACTATGGGATTTACCAAATTTATATACCACTGTATAGAGCGGAAAATTTCCTATACTTTCTATATGGGCACAGAGTTTTCTGCATCATATAAGAAAGTTATGATGCCATAAACATTTACATGCGGCAATTAAACACTAATTTTGTAGTTTTTGGGGGATAAATGCTTGTGGAACCATGCAATCTACTAAAGTTATATACCAACTGTATAAAGTGGAAAATTTCCTATAGATTCTATATGGTCACAGAGTGATTTGCATCATATAAGAAAGTTACGAGGCCATAAACATTTACATGTGGTAATTATACGCGAATTTCGCAGTTTTTGAAGGAAAAATGGTTCTGCAACTATGTGATCTACAAAATCTATATACCACTGTATAGAGCGGAAAATGTCCTATACATTGCATAAGTTTACGGAATTTTCTGTATCATATAAGAAAGTTTTGAGGTCATAAACATTTATATGCGGCAATTGTACACGAATTTTGCAGTTTTTGAAGGAAAAATTCTTCTGCAACTATGGGATTTACCAAATTTATATACCACTGTATAGAGCGGAAAATTTCCTATACTTTCTATATGGGCACAGAGTTTTCTGCATCATATAAGAAAGTTATGATGCCATAAACATTTACATGCGGCAATTAAACACTAATTTTGTAGTTTTTGGGGGATAAATGCTTGTGGAACCATGCAATCTACTAAAGTTATATACCAACTGTATAAAGTGGAAAATTTCCTATAGATTCTATATATTCACAGACTTTTGTTCGTATCATATAAGAAAGTTATGACGCCGTAAACATTTACATGTGGCAATTATACGCGAATTTTTGCAGTTTTTGAAGGAAAAATTCTTCTGCAAGCATGCGATCTACAAAATTTATATACCACTGTATAGAGCGGAAAATTTCCTATAGTATATGATCATGAAGTTTTGTCCATATCATATAAGAAAGTTATGCCGTCGTAAAAATTTACATACGGTAATTATACTCGGAATTTGTAGCTTTTGTGAGGAAAATGTTTGTGGAACCATGTAATCTACTAAACTTATATAACACTTTATAGAGCTGAAAATTTCCTATATGATTGCTACTACTATAGTTTTGTTCCTACCTAATAAAAGAGTTGTTTAAGAAAGGTTAATCTACCGATTCTATGTTTGGGTTGTTTATTATGCCTATTTTTTGGCTGACGCTTGATTTTGACAGGACAAAACCCAGAGTTAGATAGCTCAAAATGTGTTTTTTTTTCAAATTAATGAAGCTTTTTTTTTAATTCGGTTCCATAACGGCCGCACACAGCTTGAAGTTTAATCATATTGAAGTGTATTTGGTACACGACGACGTTTTTTATATTTTACCTCTATTGATGTCATATTAACAGAACACAATGATGTTAGATAAAGAAAAGATCAGGCTTTCTAATGGTATATTTAATATTCTGCTATCTCTAAAGACCACAAAGATATCAGCTTGTAATACAACCTCAATCATAAATGTTAGGAAAATTAATCTTTATATATAATCATGAAATAAAAACGAATTCATCAAAAATTTCATTTATTATTCATTTCATTCTCAATAATTTATTTTCACCTCTTTAAACAATATTTATTACAAAACAGATAAATTGTAAGAAAATAACTGTTTAAATAAAATTACATTATCTCATATTGATTTGATTCTTTTAATTAATTAAATGTGTATTTGAACTAAATTTGATTTGAGAATACTTCTTTGTTATAACCACATGAATATAAAGTATTATTACACCATGTTACACCTCTTACAACAGAACTATGATCATTAATTTGTTTAATTTTTTCAAATTCTCCATTGGCAGTAAATTTAAGGATGATTATTTGGGATGTATCCCCACAAACAGCTATTAAACCATTGTTGTGAGCCATTCGATAAATGCTATTGTTAAAGCATCCGATTACATTTAATATTTCTTTTGGTTTTCTAATATCCAATGAATAAACATCACCGGAATCACTCCCAATAATTAAATGAGGGGAGTCTTGGAGCCATATGATGCTATTTAATGGACAAAATTCGTTTTGATACATTACACTGGCAGGATTTTTTAATCTTATATCCCAAACACAAGCCTTTCTATCCATTGAACACGAAGAAAATAAGTTTAAATCCGATTTATTTGTATCAACACATCTTATTACATCCGTATGATAATAACTAAAATAAAATTGATTAAGATAAAGTCTTTTAATTTTTTTTATGCAAACCAATAAGTATTTTCTAAAGTAATTGGGTCACTTTCTAGATCATACACATCTATAGAGGCACCATAAGAAGCAATAGCTTTGTAAGAACCCCATGTTGAAAGTTTAGTAACTCTTTGAGATTTTGAAAACTTTTTTCGACAAGAAAGTAAATTATAATTATTTTCTTCCGTGTTTAAAATTAATAAAGTACCATTATCTTCCGAAAGTAAAACCTGAAATGCTTGTGTTAAACTTAAGTTAGAAAAAAACAGTTTAATTTACGTTGTTATCATCAAGGAATAAAGCATCGGAGGTTGTTGTGTTACTAATAAAATAGCCAGAATAAAAATTTTCTTTGAGACTTTTGAAAGATTCGTAATGGTGTAAAGTTCCCTCCCAATAAGTACCGGATATATTTGAAGATCCCACAATTAATTCACCTAAAATTAACGAATTATTAAAGATTTTTTTTACAACATGTGTTAACCTATAAATTAATACCTTTCTTATTCGCATCAATAAATAATAAGTAATCATACATTATCGGGTGCTTTGATGGTTCTAAAGCCCGTTCTAACGGTTTATTCGGTGGATAAATCATGGTTAAAGCTTCCATAATTACAATGAAAGTTTTAAAAATATTTTGAGGTTAACCGCCTGTCAACAAATTTTAAACGTTGCTGTCAAAATAAAATTTTTATTTTTAACTTAATTATTTGAATTAAAAAAAAATAAACGTTATAATTATTGTTTTATTATAAATTAATAGTAATAAATTAATTACAATTAAAATATCAAACTCAAAACTTTAACGCTTACGTTGCTAACTTCACGTTGACAAAAAGAGTCGGTTAAAAACCAAGGTTGAAATAGTTTTTCCATACAAGATTTGATATTTTTGAATATAAACAGGTGTTTTTATAAATGAAAAACATGTTACCGTCTCAAAAGGCTGTTATAAAACCGTGTTTCGTATCGTTGAATAAAGATTTGGTTGATGACCATATAAAAACAGTCCAAAAAAACTCAATAAAGAAAAAATGTGTCGTATTTCTCGATAAAGACTCGATTATTGAGACAAATAGAGCACAATCAACTCCTCACGAAAGACATTCAATCATTAAAAATTGTGCATTAATGAAGTCTGCAAGCATAGAAAGAAATACCCCCGGGAGAAGGAATGTTTATCCAATTTCGGAACCATCAACCCCTTTGTATGAACCAGCATTATCAAGCGAATTAAGACGAGCAATTGATGAAAAGAATTTATTTACTACAAAAACAAAAAATAAGTTTATGTCAGCTCTTGGAGAGTTAGAAGAAGCCAATGAAGAAGAGAACAGAAAAAGATACAAAAAGAAAGCGATTAATGAAGTTTTAGCGAGTGAAAAGGCTTATATTAAACAATTAGAGTTAATATTTAATTATTTTGAGAAGCCCATACGAGAAAAGGGGTTGTTATCAAGAACTAATTTCGAACTCATATTTGGAGGATTAAACAGCATTTATAAATTAAACAAGGAATTAATGCAAATGTTGGAGTTGAATAAATTGGATGTAGGATCAGCTTTTTTAAAAATTGCTCCATTTTTTAAACTTTATTCGACATATGCTTACGAATTTAAGGATATTTTAGAAATTATTGAGGTAAATTGAACCAAAAAATGATTAAATTANAAATTAATTACAATTAAAATATCAAACTCAAAACTTTAACGCTTACGTTGCTAACTTCACGTTGACAAAAAGAGTCGGTTAAAAACCAAGATTGAAATAGTTTTTCCATACAAGATTTGATATTTTTGAATATAAACAGGTGTTTTTATAAATGAAAAACATGTTACCGTCTCAAAAGGCTGTTATAAAACCGTGTTTCGTATCGTTGAATAAAGATTTGGTTGATGACCATATAAAAACAGTCCAAAAAAACTCAATAAAGAAAAAATGTGTCGTATTTCTCGATAAAGACTCGATTATTGAGACAAATAGAGCACAATCAACTCCTCACGAAAGACATTCAATCATTAAAAATTGTGCATTAATGAAGTCTGCAAGCATAGAAAGAAATACCCCCGGGAGAAGGAATGTTTATCCAATTTCGGAACCATCAACCCCTTTGTATGAACCAGCATTATCAAGCGAATTAAGACGAGCAATTGATGAAAAGAATTTATTTACTACAAAAACAAAAAATAAGTTTATGTCAGCTCTTGGAGAGTTAGAAGAAGCCAATGAAGAAGAGAACAGAAAAAGATACAAAAAGAAAGCGATTAATGAAGTTTTAGCGAGTGAAAAGGCTTATATTAAACAATTAGAGTTAATATTTAATTATTTTGAGAAGCCCATACGAGAAAAGGGGTTGTTATCAAGAACTAATTTCGAACTCATATTTGGAGGATTAAACAGCATTTATAAATTAAACAAGGAATTAATGCAAATGTTGGAGTTGAATAAATTGGATGTAGGATCAGCTTTTTTAAAAATTGCTCCATTTTTTAAACTTTATTCGACATATGCTTACGAATTTAAGGATATTTTAGAAGTTATTGAGGTAAATTGAACCAAAAAATGATTAAATTAAATTATTCTTATATGTATGAAGGCTTTCATGGTCAGTGTTAATTGAACTAAAATTAAGAACATTCAAATCAAACCAATTTCTGCTGAACCCGAAAGTTTCTAGTGTTAGTTCTAAATTTAGTTAAATTATTCTTCTTCTCCTGATCTTTATACCTGATGGCATTCAGATAAATCTTTTTCCTATTTCCTCCACTTTCTGGCTAATTGATTATTATTATATTTTTCCTTTATATCTGCTAGAGTCTTCTCTCTCTTCTTTCCAACCTTTTGCTATTCTTTCCTCTCACTTCTTCCTAGGTCTTACCTTGTTTATTATTGTTTATATAGTTATTGTGTTATGTTCCATTCTAATTCCAAGTTTAATTGCTTTCTCTCTATTTTGCTTGATCTACTCCCAGTCTTATTTCCTCATTCCTTATCCTGTCCCACTTCATCTTTCCCACTATTTTCCATAAAAATTTCATTTCCATTGCTGTAATCTTTCCTTCTTGTTTATCTTGGAGTGTCCATAATTCACTGGTATATGTTAATATTGGAAATGCCACCAAATTGTACACTTTCAGTTTTATTTTTTTTTCTACTTTATAAGATAACTTTCAAAATTCGCTATAAAATTAGTTTCTTGAAGGATCTTTGTGGAAATAACACCAATTTAGTTCTTGAGAAATAAATTTTTGAAATAATCGACAATTTTTTAAAATTTTGCAATTTATCGCCGATTAAGTTTTAAAAATTCGTAAAAAAATCCATTTCTTGGCATATGACTGTGAACATTTCCTAAAGTGTTAATAAAAGCGTCCTCTTTCCAATGAACCAGCCCGTTTTGATAAATAACTTTTAGTTTTTGAGAAAACAATATTTGAAGTTTTGATATAATTTTCGATGTTGCAATTTTCATGTTGTATCCAGTTTTCTTTAAGTAGCATCTAGTCGTCTACCAGCAATATCAAGTCTTTTACAAGCAGTTGAAGTCTTCTGCAAGTAGCATCTAGTTTTTAAGCAGTATCTAGTATTTTTAAAGCAGTATCTCATTGTCTACCATCAGTATAGTGTCTTCTGTCAACAGTATCTAGCCTTCAAGCAGTAGCTAATCTTCTTGAAGTAATATCTAGTTTACTACCAGCTGTATTNTAAAGTGGATGTAGGATCAGCTTTCTTAAAAATTGCTCCATTTTTTAAACTTTATTCGACTTATGCTTACGAATTTAAGGATATTTTAGAAATTATTGAGGTAAATTGAACCAAAAAATGATTAAATTATTCTTATAAGTATGAAATTAGAACTAAAACTAGAAACTTTCAGGTTCAACAGATACTGGTTTGAAGTCACTTCGAAGTTTTAGTTCTAATTTTAGTTCAATTATTCTTCTTCTTCTCCTAATGGCATTCGAATAAATCTTTTTCCTATTTCTCCATCCACCTCTTCCACTCCCTCCACTTTCTGGCTAATTGATTATTATTATATTTTTCCTTTATATCTGCTAGAGTGCTTTCCTCTCACTTCTTCCTAGGTCTTACCTTGTTTATTCTTTCCTCTTTTTCTTATACTTATTCCTTGCTTCAAATACCTTTTTACTATTGTGTTATGTTCCATTCTAATTATGTGGGCCTACAAGTTTAATTGCTTTCTCTCTATTTTGCTTGATCTACTCCCAGTCTTATTTCATCATTCCTTATCCTGTCCCACTTCATCTTTCCCATAAAAATTGCTGTAATCTTTCCTTCTTGTTTATCTTGGTGTGTCCATAATTCACTGGCATATGTTAATATTGGGAATGCCACCAAGTTGTACACTTTCAATTTTATTTTTTTATCTACTTTATAAGATAACTTTCAAAATTCGCTATAGAATTAGTTTCTTGAAGGATCCTTGTGGAAATAACACCAATTTAGTTCTTGAGAAATAAATTTTTGATATAATCGACAATTTTTTCAAATTTTGCAATTTGTCGACGATTAAGTTTTAAAAATTCGTATAAAATCTATTTCTTGGAATATGACTATGAAAATTTCCTAAAGTGTTAATAAAAGTGTCCTCTTTCCAATGAACCAGCCCGTTTTGATAAATAACTTTTAGTTTTTGAGAAAACAATATTTGAAGTTTTGATATAATTTTCGATGTTGCAATTTTCATGTTGCATTCAGTTTTCTTTAAGTAGCATCTAGTCGTCTACCAGCAATATGAAGTCTTTTACAAGCAGTTGAAGTCTTTTGTAAATAGTATCTAGTTTTTAAGCAGTATCTAGTCTTTTTAAAGCAGTATCTCCTTGTCTACCATCAGTATAGTATCTTATGTCAACAGTATTTAGCCTTCAAGCAGTAGCTAATCTTCTTGAAGTAATATCAAGTCTTTTATTAGCTGTATTTGGTCTTCTATCAGCATTGTAAAGTCTTCTACAAGCAATATCAAATCTTTTACCATCAGTATCTAGAATTCAAGCAGTATCCAATCTTCTTTAAGTAGTATCTAGTCGTCTACCAGTAATATCAAGTCTTCTGCCAGCAGTATCTAATCTTCAAACAGTATCTAGTCTTCTTCAAACAGCATTCAGTTTTCTTTAAGTAGCATCTAGTCGTCTACCAGCAATATCAAGTCTTTTACAAGCATTGAATTCCCTTTTGGCGGTAAATACTAGTTAATTGATTTAATGCGTTTTTGTGAAATTTTCAATACATGTTTTTTAATTCGTAGCGAACAACCTGAAGACGATTATAGAATAATCGAAATCGGTCGTTGAGAACAAAATTTTTAAATAAAATTTAATCTTCAGAAATACATTCTGTATTATTTTCACCGATTTTACAAGCAGTTAAAGTCTTCTGCAAGTAGTATCTAGTTTTTAAGCAGTATCTAGTCTTTTGAAAGCAGTATCTCCTTGTCTACCATCAGTATAGTGTCTTATGTCAACAGTATTTAGCCTTCAAGCCGGAGCTAATCTTCTTGAAGTAATACCAAGTCTTTTACCAGCAGTATCTAGAATTCAAGCAGTATCCAATCGTCTTTAAGTAGTATCTAATCGTCTACCAGCAATATCAAGTCTTCTGTCAGCAGTATCTAATCTTCAAGCAGTATCTAGTCTTCTTCAAACAGCATCCAGTTTTCTTTAAGTAGCATCTAGTCGTCTACCAGCAATATAAAGTCTTTTACAAGCAGTTGAAGTCTTCTGCAAGTAGTATCTAGTTTTTAAACAGTATCTACTCTTTAAAGCAGTATTTCCTTGTCTACTGTCAATATAGTGTCTTTTGTCAACAGTATCTAGCCTTAAAAGCAGTAGCTAATCTTCTTGAAGTAATATCTAGTTTACTACCAGCTGTATTTAGTCTTGTATCAGCATTGTAAAGTCTTCTACAAGCAATATCGAGTCTTCTACCAGCAGTATCTAGAATTCAAGCAGTATCCAATCTTCTTTAAGTAGTATATAGTCGTCTACCAGTAATATCAAGTCTTCTGCCAGCAGTATCTAATCTTCAAGCAGTATCTAGTCTTCTTCAAACAGCATCCACTTTTCTTTAAGTAGCATCTAGTCGTCTACCAGCAATATCAAGTCTTTTACAAGCAGTTGAAGTCTTCTGCAAGTAGTATCTAGTTTTTAAGCAGTATCTAGTCGTTTTAAAGCAGTATCTCCTTGTCTATCATCAGTATAGTGTCTTCTGTCAACAGTATCTAGCCTTCAAGCTGTAGCTAATCTTCTTGAAGTAATATCTAGTTTACTATTAGCTGTATTTGGTCTTCTATCAGCATTGTAAAGTCTTCTACAAGCAATATCAAGTCTTCTACCAGCAGTATCTAGTCTTCAAGTAGTATCCAGTCTTCTTTAAGTAACATCTAGTCGTTTACCAGCAATATCACGTCATTTGCTGTATTAAGTCTTTTGCAAGCAGTATGTAATTTTCTAGTATCTCGTCTTTTTTAAGCAGTATCTCATTTTCTACCAGCAGTATAGTGTCTTCCAGCAGTATCTAGTCTTCTAACAGTAGTATCAAGTATTCTGCACGCAACATCAAGCCTGCAAGCAGTATTTAGTTTTCTTGAAGCAGTATCTCGTCTTTTACCCGTTTGGGCGTCTAAACCCGTGCGTCTGAGGACGCTTTCTAGACCTAGAACTAGGAACATTCAAGCTTAGCCGCACGTCTCTCAAGACGGCTAAACCCAAACGATTCTAGTTCTAGGTCTTGTGTTAGTTTTAGTGATAGTGCCAGTGTAAAACTAGAACTAACACTAGACCTAGAACTAGAAACATTCGGGTTTAGCCGTGTGTCTGAAGGTGCACCAGTATTAAGTCTGCTTCAAAGTCTGCTAGTTTTGTGTTAGCAGTATCTAGTCCTCTAATAGTAGTACCAACTCTTGCACATAGTATCTAGTCTTTTATTAGCAGTCTATACTCTTCATCAAGCAGTAGCTAATCTTCTTGCAGTAAGATCTAGTTTACTACCAGCAGTATTTGATCTTCTATCAGCATTGTAAAGTCTTCTACAAGCAATTTCAAGTCTTCTGCCAGCAGTATCTAGAATTCAAGCAGTATCCAATCTTCTTTAAGTAGTATCTAGTCGTCTACCAGCAATATTTGATCTTCTATCAGCATTGTAAAGTCTTCTACAAGCAATATCAAGTCTTCTGTCACCAGTATCTAATTTTCAAGCTGTATCTAGTATTCTTCAAACAGCATCCAGTTTTCTTTAAGTAGCATCTAGTCGTCTACCAGCAATATCAAGTCATTTGCAAGCAGTTGAAGCCTTCTGCAAGTAGTATCTAGTTTTTAAGCAGTATTTAGTCTTTTTAAAGCAGTATCTCCTTGTGTACCATCAGTATAGTGTCTTCTGTCAACAGTATCTAGTCTTCAAGCAGTATCCAGTCTTCTTTAAGTAACATCTAGTCGTTTACCAACAATATCAAGTCATTTGCAAACTGTATTAAGTCTTTTGCAAGCAGTATGCAATTTTCAAGTAGTATCTTATCTTTTTCAAGCAGTATCTCATTTTCTACCAGCAGTATAGTGTCTTCAAGCAGTATCTAGTCTTCTAACAGTAGCATCAAGTATTCTGCACGCAATATCATGCCTGCAAGCAGTATTTAGTCTTCTTGAAGCAGTATCTAGTGTTCTTGAAGCAGTATCTACTTGTCTGCCAGCAGTATAGTGTCTTCTGTTATTAGTATCTAGTCTTCAAGCAGTATCCAGTCTGCTTTAAGTAACATCTAGTCGTCTACCAGCAATATTACGGCATTTGCAAGCTGTATTAAGTCTTCTTCAAGCAGTATCTAGTTTTTAAGCAGTATCTCACTTTCTACCAGCAGTATAATGTCTTCTTCAAGCAGTATCTAGTCTTCTAACACTAGTATCAAGTATTCTGCACGCAATATCAAGCCTGCAAGCAGTATTTAGTCTTCTTGAAGCAGTATCTCGTCTTTTACCCGTTTGGGCGTCTAAATCCGTGCGTCTGAGGACGCTTTCTAGACCGAGAACTGGAAACATTCGAGTTTAGCCGCACGTCTCTCAAGACGGCTAAACCCGAATTAGCTCTATTAGTTCTAGGTTCTGTGTTAGTTCTAGGTCTAGTGTTAGTTCTAATTTTAGCACAATAAAAATATGCGATATAGTGATATCTTATGCTAACTAGCGCTACCTACCTAACTAATTTAAATTATATTTTTAGAAAAGTGAAGAAAATAATTACGAATTTTACAAATTCATTGAAAACCAAGAATCTCGCCCGGAAGTTCAATCAAAACTCTCTGCATTATTAATAACCCCAATTCAAAGAGTTCCACGTTATTGTCTCCTATTAAAACAAATTTTAGACCACAGCAAACCAAACGAAGACGATTACGATGATATTAAACAATCTTTAAAGGAAGTTGAAAAATCCGCGAAACACATCGATACATTGGTCGAGCAAAAAGAAAACAGTATTCGCTTAGTTGAAATTCAAACGGCGTTAATCGATAATAAACCGATTATAATAAAACCGGGTCGATTTCTTATCCACGAAGGTCCCGTTTTAAAAATAGTAGCTTCTAGTGTTTGTCCTATTTATTTAATTTTATTAAACGATATTATTTTATTTTGTAAAACTAAAAAGAAAACGGTTAAAACGAAAAATTGTTTGAAATGTGAGATGATTTATCCGTTGGCGTCGTGTAAAATAGTCGAAAAAGTCATTTCGAGAAATATTCATATCAGCTGTGAAAACGAAAATGTGATGATTTTTATTGAAAAACCTAAAGAATTTACCAAGTGGATCACCACTTTAAAAGATGCTCAAACGAAAGCGGTACTGAATAGGATGACTTTAAGGAAAGAAAGTTCTTTGAGAAAACCCGCTCATTACAAAAATTTGAATCAGTATAACGAAGTTGATTTAAGTCCTTGCGTACCGCAAAGAAAACGACTGTTAAATGAAACGTTTTATAAATTTGATGAAGAGTACTCAGAGAGTCCATCTAAGAAGTTTTGCTCATCAAAAAAAGATAGCTTATTTCCGTTAAGATCGCATTTATTATCTAGGAATCCAATCGGTCATAAACGAAGTCAATCAGTATCAAACTCAATTATCAAAGATTCAGTCAAAGTTGAAGATCCGGATGTTTACGTTTTTGGAGAACCATCCAATGTTAATCGGGGATTTAACTTTAGCATTACAAACTTTTTCAGCAACATTGGTAACTCTTTAAAGCGTTTATTTAGGTATAAATAATGTATTTGAAATTTATTTTATAAGTATAACTTTTATTAATATTCTATATTATTAATATTGTGAAAGAAATATAACTAACTTCAAGAGATTGTTTTATTTAACATTATTTTATTGTTGTAACAAATAACTTATTTTTGACCTATTTGAATAATATGTAGTTATATACTATCCAGTCCTTTGAGGGTTCATTTTGTGGATAAACATTCCATTTAACTTTGATATTTTTTAGTATTAAACGGTTATTTTTGTATAAAAAAAAATTTTATCACAGAACCCTGTTATAAAATCGTGTTTCTTGATGACCAGTTAAAACAATCCGAAGAGTCTAGCATAACTTTAATTAGTATTTGTATTATTTTACATTAAATTATAAAACTAACTTTTTTGTAGTTTTTAATATACAGGTGTCCCGTATCTGTTTAAATCTTAAGTTGTAATAATAACTTAAGTGTAATAATATCTTCAAACCGTTATTCTGTGGTTATAACTAAGACATTACATGGACACTTTTTTTACAGAGAATTTGATTACGTAGTCAAAAAAAATGTTTTGGTTTTAGATTTTGAGATATTATGACAGTTTTCGTTTTTTTAAATGGAAACAATCACTAATTATTTGCTTATTAAATTCGTTATTTTTTTTCTGGTTACAAAAATATGGGGTTATATATTTCTTATTGTTTTAGAATAAAACTAAACATAAACTTTTTTTTAGTGTCGTCAAAGAAATTATTTATTATTTACAGTTTCCTGTAAATTACTGTACTATAACTAAATAACTAAAAATTATTCTACTAAAAATTTATATAAAATTTACTTTATTTTCTAATATGTAACATTTTAACACGTTTCGTAATTTTTGTAATCCACCTTAAAAAACAGGATTTTTAATTGGACACTTCAGAAAATTTTTGAATACAAACAAATGTTAATTTGAATTAAAAAAATATATATGAGCGCCATCTACCAATAATTTATTAAGTCATTTAATAATAATATTAAATATTAATAAAAAATGTGAAATAATGCAATCTATTCCAACTTTTGGGTAAAACAAATATAAATTAAATAGTTCAACAAATGTATTTGTTTCAAATATCAGAAATATGTTTTTTTTTAATTTTTAGTTATAATTTATAGGAAACTGTAAATTTAATTTCTTTGACGATACTAAAAAAAAGTTAATTTTTAGTTTTATTCTAAAACAAGAAATAGACCTGTAAAACCCTACATTTTTGTAATCAGAAAAAAATAACGTATTTAATAAGCGAATAATCAGTGATTGTTTTCATTTAAAAAAACGATATTTTCAATTTTGGCCTCTAGGGGAAAAACAAAAGACGATAGCGCTTTGTGGTTTTCGGCATTAGCAGTTTCTCGAAAAACAAGACATGTAAGCTACTTTTTTTCTAACTCTTATAGTTTCCGAGTTAGCCTATTCGGACATCGAATTTGAACCATCCTGTACAACTAACACTAGATCTAGAACTAGAATCATTCCGAAACTTTCTAGTTCTAGGTCTAGTGTTAGTTCTAGTTTTACACTAGCACTCTTACTATGTAGAACTAACACTATACCTAGAACTAGAATCATTTGGGTTTAGCCGTCTTTAGAGACGTGTGGCTAAACTCAAATGTTTCTAGTTTTAGTGTTAGTTCTAGTGACAGTTTTAAGTAGCACTAGTTGGCACTAAATAGTCCTAGGTTGTGTATTGCCGAATGATTCTAGTTCTAGATCTAGTGTTAGTTTTAATCATTCTTCAGCTTTACGCATTATTCAGTTCTATTTTTTCCCAACAACTACAAATTAGCTGCTTTCCAGGCTTTTATTGTCAAACTATTGAAATATCCTCTAGACTATACATCCAGACTAAAAGAACTAAATTTTATTAACAGATTAGCAAGAGAAAATGGTTATCCAAGTTGTACCAATTACTGTATAAAAACCTCATAAAACTAGACCCTTTATACTCTACGAATAAAAATAACTTTGACAATTATAAGACAATAACATACAATAAAATAAACTGCAAAATTAAAACCATACTACAAACCTATGGTGTATTTGTCAGCTTTAAATATAAAGGACAACTGGGTGATTCGATTTCTGACTACAAACAAAAAGAAAACGTTTTGGATTGTAGTGGTATCTATTCTGTTAAGTGTTGCGATTGTTCTGCTATGTATGTTGGTCAGACCGGTCGAAAATTACAAAAAAGATTATGCGAACATAAAACCAGATGCACTTCGAACATTTTCAAACATAAATTAGAAACAGGCCATAACATTGATTATGACAATGTACAGGCTGGTTCAAATTCGATGTCCATATAGGCTAACTCGAAAACTATAAGAGTTAGAAGAAAAGTAGCTGACATGTCATGATCTCGTTTTTCGAGAAACTGCTAATGCCGAAAACCTCATAGCGCTATCGTCTTTTGTTTTTCCGCTAGAGGCCAAAATTGAAAATATCGTAAAACCCGCAAATGTAATTATCTTGGTTATTATTATAGGTGGAGTATTATAACTAAGACATTATATGGACACTTTTTTACAGAGAATTTGATGACGTAGTCAAAAAAATTTTGTCGGTTTTAGATTTTGAGATATTATCACAATTTTCGTTTTTTTAAATGGAAACAACCACTGATTATTCGCTTAATAAATTCGTTATTTTTTTCTGATTACAAAAATATAGGGTTTGACAGGTCTATTTCTTATTGTTTTAGAATAAAACTAAAAATAAACTTTTCTTTTAGTGTCGTCGAAGAAATTAAATTTACAGTTTCCTGTAAATTACGGTTCTATAACTAAAAATTAAAAAAACATATTTCTGATATTTGAAACAAATATATTTGTTGAACTGTTTAATTTATATATGTTTTACACAAAAGTTGGAATAGGTTGCATTATTTCACATTTTTTATTACGATTTAATATTATTTTTAAACGACTTCGATAAATTATCGATAGATGGCGCGCATATGCTTTTTTTTTTAATTCAAATAAACATAGCAACATTTGTTTGTATTTAAAAAGTGTCAAAAATTTTCTGAAGTGTCACTTTAAAAATCCTGGTTTTAAGATCAATTACGAAAATTTTGAAAAGTTTGACATGTTAGAATGTTACATATTAAAAAATTATTTGTTTTTAAATACCAGAAGTTATCTTCGTATTTAATTTTAACTTTTTAGATTTTACCTACCGTCCCGTAACTTACAGGAAACTGTAAATTTAATTTCCTCGACGACACTAGATGGAAATTTTATAAAAAAAGTTTATTTTTAGCTTTATTCTAAAACAATAACAAATAGACCCGTCGAACCCTATATTTTTGTAATCAGAAAAAAATAACGAATTTAATAAGCGAATAATCAGTGGTTGTTTCTATTTAAAAAAACGAAAATTCTCATGATATCTCAAAATCTAAAACCGAAAAATTTTTTTTGACTATGCCATGAAATTCTCTGTAAAAAAGTGTCCATATAATGTCTTTGTTATAATACTCCACCTATAATAATAACCAAGATAATTACACTTATTGGTTTTACGATATTTTCAATTTTGGCCGGAAAAACAAAAGACGATAGCGCTATGAGGTTTTCGGCTTTTCTTCTAACTCTTATAGTTTTCGAGTTAGCCTATTCGGACATCGAATTTGAATCACCCTGTACAACTCCTACATAAGTGTAAAAAAGGTTTGAAAATGAATTTCCTTGAAATGTTCGAAATCGATAAACTTAAGCATAATGATAACTATCTTACTTTAAATGATCAACTAGAAAACTATTATAAACCATTATACGCCTTTTTGAAAAAATAATTTCATTTTAAAATTATTTTACTCTGATATTTTTATTCCTTTTTGTAAGCGGTTTGAAATTTAGTTCGATGTTGATTTAACAGTCGTCTTTGGAGTTCAATTGTGTACTATTCTTGTTTAGAATAGTTATTTTCCTGTTTCTTTTAAATAATGTTTTATTTTAACGTAGAAATTTGTTTGTTCAGCGTGATGTTTTAACTATTTGACTGTAAGTTGAGATATATTTATGCAATTTTATTGTTTTTTATATATCCTTTTGTAGATTTGGCTGATGATGACATCATAATATGTCGAAACTAGGTAGTACCAAGTACATAAACTTAATTAATAAAAAACTTTAGAGGTCAAGAGGCCTACTTATTATTACTTCATTTCAACATATTCAGTTCTAGTTTTACACTTGCACTTTAGGAATAAGTTTTAATCCAAATTGGCTGAAATAATAACAATATAAGTAGCATTATTAAATTGGTTAAGACAACTTAATTAATTAATAAAAAAACTTTAAATTAATTTGTTACAAATTTTATTGAAATCAACAACATCAAACCTAAACTATTTTTGCTACGGTTTATAACAAGATATAATTCTACCTAAAACTCCGATATTAGCGGAGAAAAACGCAACACTTTGAATCCAAATAAAAATAAACGTGTTTTTTCCTTGAAACTCCAAAAGATAAGCCGGATACAACCAAGCTAATTGAGCCACAATCCAAATTAAAACCAATACTGTTGATGTGAATTTATTAATTTTAATTTGCCACAAACACAGAGGCAAAATAACCATTAACCACATAAAATATTGCGATGTAAGAACCGTGTTGTAAGTAATCATAACAAAAGTGATTGAAAACAACGAAAAACACAAAGAGGATTTATTTAAGCCATAACGAATCGATAAAACGGTTATTAACAGATATTGTGGCAAAACGGTAAGAATTCTTTGCCAAATATTGACGATTTTTAAATCGGCCGATAAATATTGGAGATAAAAATATAAAGAAAAATTATGGCGGGTGTCTTTTCGAATGAAATGATAAATGTAGGTTTCATATAAAAATTGGTACCCATAAAGGAAATAAAAGAAAGTTGTTAACGAAATTAATGCGAGTAAAGTTCCAAAAATTAATTTTAACTGTTTAAAATTAGGAATTAAGTATTTAATATAAACAATTTTAGTCGGTTTCAAATTAGTTTTCGAATTTTGATTCATAAAATAAGCAAGGCTATACATTAAGGGGTACAAACGAAAATGAATAACAAAGCCATGAATTAATCCGGCTAAAAATTGTGAGTCACATTGCAACAAATAAATTGTTAATAAAACGAAAATTGATGAAATTGCATCGCAATTACCTCGCGTTGATATTATAAAAACAGAGGGGTTATACAACCAAAAAAATGAACTAATTTTCGCTTTAACCTCTAAATCATTTTTATCATGATTAACCAAACTATTTAATTTAACAATTTTATAAATTAAATACCCCGCGATTACATCAAACAAAGAAAAGAACCATTTCCCAAACGATTGATGAATCAAAACATTAGGAACCATCAAAAAAGCCAAAATTGGGCTATACCGATAAGTATCCCTTTTATACGGAGAATCCCCTTCGATTACACATCGAGCCCCATCCGAAAAAACTTTATAATCAACATCCGTATAAGAAACTTTAAAATAATCATCATGAAAATCCCCATAAATTATTAAAACCCCCCTCAAAATAAACCCAATAATTAAATGACCCCAAATCTCTAATCCAACGAATTTCTTAAACATTTTTAAATCTTCGTTTTCAATTTAGCAGCACTCTTTTGTAAACAATTCTTAAACAGTTTAAATTCAGTCGCGCAATCGTTCATTTCAATCGAACTTTTCTTTAAAACGCACTTTGCGTAATTTCCCGCTTCCGTTTTACAACCGGCCAATATAAAAGGATATTGACGAAATCGGTGACGTGCTTTTTGAACGGACTCCATTTAATCCCTAAAACGAGATTTATGCGTCGCAAGTAACTCCTCTAAACTGGGGCGTTCCTCCTTACTGATGAAAAAGTCGTAAATCGGACGCGAAAACAACACGGATAATGCGCAAGTTGTTAATATTCCGATAAATAATCTCGGGTTACGTTGTGACCACTTTAAACTCTTTTTTTGTTGCCTGTAATAATTCATTCCGGCTTTTTCTTGTCGGAATTAACTTTGAAACCTTCGCAAACGAAACTTCGGTCACCCCAACGGCGACAACAATCTATCATATCTTGAATTACGTCTTTACAAGAATCTTCTTTATAATTGCGATCTAAACGAATTTATTTTAATTATTTTGAGGTTATGTTATTATATTGAATAATTACCGTTTAAACAATCTTGTATTTTACAAGCGTAAGCTTTACAAGGATCTTTCTTTTTCATGAATTTAAACTAAAAATACTTTAAATGTGATGTAACGTGTTATGAAAAAGGTTAAATTATTACAAATTAGAATAGAAACTCTATTACAAAATCATCTGTCAAAAGAACGTCAAAAGTGTCAAAAATTAAATTTTAGTTTATTTTAAAAATTAATATTTTATTGATTCGATTTATTATTAAACGATTAATTAAGCTAAAAATTAAATTGATTCGATTTTTTTAAAAGAAATATATATTTTTTTTTAAATAAACCGGTTGTATTGATTACACTATTTAGGGATTTTTTTTATTAACAAATCTGTCAGATTTCAAAGTTTCGAATAAAAAAAATCCCGATACAAATTTTAATTTATTAATGAAACATTAAATAATTGAAATTATGTACGAAATGATTGATATCGAAACTTCCCCGGTTGTTTCTAAATTAATGGGAAGATTTAGAATGTTACTTAATAGACAAGGTGATTATTTTTTTAGGTTATAAAGTGAAATTCCCCTAACTCGAAACGCTAAGGGAGCGGGAGAAAACTAAACTAATCTAACACTGAATCCTTACTAAATAATAATTAAAACTAGAACTAACACTATACCTACAACTACCTAGAATCTTTTAATTCTAGGTATTGTGTTAGTTCTAGTTTTACACTTATACTGTCACTAGAAATAACATTAGATTTAGGACTAGAATCATTTGGGTTTAGTCGTCTTTAGAGACATGCAGCTAAACCTAAATGTTTCTAGTTCTAGGTATAGTTTTACTTCTGGTAACTTCCCTTAGCCACGTAACTTCTGAATAAACCATACAATCTAGCAATAGTTGGCACTTTTCGTAAAAATAAGTCAGAAATACAATATCTGGGCATCACACTTGACAATAAAATGACATGGAGAGCCCACCTAGATAATAGAGTAAAAAAAGCGTACGTTGCATTCGGTCAATGCCGGAGGGCTATAGGTAAGACATGGGGTTTGTCACCCAGAAATGCCCTCTGGATTTACACGGCTGTAATCCGACCTATGCTTACTTATGGTGCAGTAGTATGGTGGTCAAAGACCCTACAGTCTACATCCACTACTGCACTTAATAAAGTACAGAGACTTGCGTGTTTGTATGTTACAGGTGCGCTGATCCAACTTGGTAGGTAAGACTTTTACAATTTATACTGACAGTAGACAAGCTATTTTAGCCCTGAGTAGAATAACAATTACCTCAGGACTTGTTATGGGTTGTCATCTGACATTGGAGAAGGCCGCAGTGCATAACTGTGTCATACTTCAATGGATAAAAGGACACTCGACTTGTTCAGGTAACAAGCACGCTGATAGGCTTGCCAAAAGGGCTGCCAAGCGAGCGCCATGTTCGCCTGAACCGATAATCGCTCCGTCCTTATCAACTCAGATTGAGATAATTAAAGATTTTACCCACAAAAAGTTCATGAACTGGTGGGATAGGGTTAAGGGTTGCCATCTGTCTAAGGAAGTATTACATTATCCTTCAGCAGAGGCAGCCTTGTCTTTCGTAAGGCTTGGTAGAAACGCTCTACGAACTGTAACGGGACTCGTCACGGGTCACTGTAAGGTAAACAAGCATCTTTATAACCTCAAGCTTGCTATTAGTCCTCTCTGTCGCCTCTGTAAAGAGAGCGAGGAGACGGTCCGACACATCTTGTGTGAATGCCCCACTCTGCAAGACCTCAGAATGAGAGACTTCGGAGAGGAATGGCCGACCACAGATGGCATCAGGAACACACCTCTGAGCTGTATCCTAGCCTTCGGAAATTCCTTAGGCTGGTTGATGTAGCCGGAGACAGTGTAGGAGGATGTACAAGGGGCCCGTTGGGGCCTAGGTGCTGTGTGCGTAGCATACCCTCCGCTTTCCTACATACATACATACAAGTCAGAAATACTTATGGAATTACAAGACCATAAATCCCGGAAATGTGGAACTTCTGTCCTTGCATTTGATGATAAAATGACTCTTGTGTCTTATAAACCTAAACAAAATAAAATAGTTCGTTAACTTTCGACAATGCATTAAACAGACTGTATAAATTAACAAACAAACAAACCGGATATAATCCACACCTATAATGCGACAAAAGGAGCTGTTGATTCTTTTGACCAAATGGTGCAGAGAATGTGCGTCAATAGAAAGACCAGGAGATGGCCTCTTTGTTTTTTCTACAATATGCTCAACATTGCAGTAGTGAATTCCTATGTCATATATAACCATAATGGAATAAAAAGAGGACAGACACCATTATCAAGGCAAGAATTTGTTCTTAAACTTCAAGAACAACTCACCATACTATGGCAACAAGAAAAGTTACAAAATTGCCCCTCCTAGTAAAGAAAATTGAAAGACTCTCTATGTCCAGTTTTACAAGATCAGCCTATTAATTGCAGAGAATCAGGAAGTCCTACAGTGAAGAGGAGAATGACGACCACAATTTGTTAAGTATGCCATCATGCGTTGTGTCTTAAACATCACATAAAAATATGTATAAACAGTAGCCAACAACAGAAATGATTTATCTTTATTTGTTTATGTTTATTATTTATTCTTAGATGTCTAACAAAAAAGTCTATTTGTGCTATGCACATTTGCCTTTTATTTGAGGTTCACTCTAAAGAAAATTCGAACGAAAGTTTGCGAAATGCTCAAGCTTAATTTCGTTTTCTTTTCCAACTATGATACAAGTTAGAAAAAATCAAATTAATAAATACATTAACCAGCCTCAGTGTCTTTCTATTTTCTTCCACAACAGCTAATTTCTGAAAACGTAATCATACAAGCATGAAAAACGATAGTACGTAAATTTGACGTGTCGTTAGTATTAACGGACAAACAACATACCGTTAGTATTCTAAGGTTAAAGACGTGCGGCTAAACCCGAATATTTCTAGTTCTAGGTTTAGTGTTCAAGTTTCACACTAACACTGTTACTATGTAGAACTAACACTATACCTAGACCTAAAATCATTTGGGTTTAGCCGTCTTTACAGACGTGTGGCTAAACCCAAATGTTTTTAATTCTAGGTATAGATTTAGTTTTACACTTGCACTGTTACTATGTAAAACGAACACTATACCTGGAACTAGAATCATGCAGGTTTAGCCGTCTTTAGAGATGTGCGGCTACGCCCGAATGTTTCTAGTTCTAGGTCTAGTGTTAGTTCTAGTTGACATGACATTGCACTGACTTACACTTCATTGCACTATGACGTTATATGAGTACCATGTCGTGCAGAGTAGTGTAGTCCCAACGAACAAAGCTATAAGCTTTGTTTGGACATGGCACTCGTATAACGTCATAGTGCAATGAAGTGTAACAATGTCATGTCAACTTAATGCAGGTCAGAAAAGTGTATAAACCGTGGTCGCAACGAACAGATTTTTATCAAAAAAAGTGTATAATATGTTGAAGTTATGTTAATATCAAAAAAATATAACTTTATAGTAATAATTTTTTCTTTTTATAATAATTTTATTACAACTTCACCAACAGCTTTAATTTTACCTTTTGCAGAGTTCGAGAAGAATTTGGCCTTAACAATGACGGGCTGATTTGGAATTCTTCCTTTGCCTAATAATTTATAATAACCCTAAAAAAAGAAACAAATTAATATCTTATTTATAGTCTGTTGTCCATTTATCTACTATCTTGTCCATTTTCTACTGCCTCTACTGGGGTTGAATGTACTGTGTTCTCTAATACTACAAATATTAATTATTATAAGGTTTTATTTCTTAATATTTAATATGAATATTAATTATTACAAAACACGCTTTCAACTATTCCGCCATTTTCGTTACACTGAATTACACTGCACTTATTGAACTTTTCAGGTGCAACAAAATCTGCACGAAGTTGCACTACGCATGGCCCAACGAACAGTATGAGTGCAGCTGCACTAAACTGCACTATCCTCAACGAACACACAACATCTGCACTAAACTGCTTAGTGCAGTCCCAACGAACAAAGCTATTATCAATGTTATGGCCTGTTTCTAATTTATGTTTGAAAATGTTCGAAGTGCATCTGGTTTTATGTTCGCATAATCTTTTTTTGTAATTTTCGACCGGTCTGACCAACATATATAGCAGAACAATAGCAACACTTAACAGAATAGACACCACTACAATCCGAAGCGTTTTCTTTTTGTTTGTAGTTAGAAATGGAATCGCCTAGTTGTCCTTTACATTTAAAGAATGATTCTAGTTTTAGGTCAAGTATTAATTCTAGTGGCAGTTCTAAGTAGCGCTAGTTATTGGTACTAGATAACCATAGGTTGTATATTGTTATTGAATTAAAACTACAACTAACACTAGACCTAGAACTAGAAAGTATCGGGTTTAGCCGTGCGTCTGAAGAATGTTTCTAGTTCTAGGTCTAGTGTTAGTTCTAGTTTTACACTAACACTGTTACTATGTAGAACTAACACTATACCAAGAACTAGAACCATTCGGGTTTAGCCGTCTTTAGAGACGTGCGGCTAAACCCGAATGTTTCTAGTTCTAGTGTTACTTCTAGTGACAGTTCTAAGTAACGCTAATTAGCATTAAGTAGATAGTCCTAGGTTGTGTATTGTTATTAAACTAAAACTATAACTAACACTATACCTAGAACTAAAATCATTCGGGTTTAGCCGTCTTTAGAGACGTACGGCTAAACCCAAATGTTTCTAGTTCTAGGTCTAATGTTAGTTCTAGTGACAGTGCAAGTGTAAAACTAGAACTAACACTATACCTAGAACTAGAATCATTCGGGTTTAGCCGTCTTAAGAGACGTACGGCTAAACCCAAATGTTTCTAGTTCTAGGTCTAATGTTAGTTCTAGTGACAGTGCAAGTGTAAAACTAGAACTAACACTATACCTAGAACTAGAATCATTTGGGTTTAGCCGCACGTCTCTAAAGACGGCTAAACCCAAATGATTCTAGTTCTAGGTATAGTGTTAGTTCTAGTTTTACACTTGCACTGTTACTATGTAGAACGAACACTATACCTAGAACTAGAATCATTTGGGTTTAGTCGACTTCAGAGACGTGCAACTAAACCTAAATGTTTCTAGTTCTAGGTATAGTTTCAATTCTGGTTTTACACTAGCACTGTTACTATTGAGAACTAACACTATACCTAGAACTAGAATCATTCGGGTTTAGCCGTCTTTAGAGACGTGCGGCTAAACCCGAATGTTTCTAGTTCTAGGTCTAGAGTTAGTTCTAAGTAACGCTAGTTAGCACTGAATAGTTCTAGGTTGTGTATTGTTATTGAACTAAAACTAGAAGTAACACTAGACCTACAACTAGAAAGTTTCGGATTTAGAAAGTTTTAAACCCGAATGTTTCTAGTTCTAGGTCTAGTGTTACTTCTAGTTTTACACTGTTACTATAGTAGAACTAACACTATACCTAGAACTAGAATCATTTGGGTTTAGCCGTCTTGAGAGACGTGCGGCTAAGCCCAAATGTTTCTAGTTCTAGGTATAATGTTAATTCTAGTTTTATACTTGCACTCTCACTACTTAGAACTAACATGAAGATATAGAACTAGAAATGTAGGGATTATTCTAGTTATATTATTATCTAAATCTTGTGTTAGTTCTAATGACAGTTATATTACAGTATAATTTAGAAATTAATATTTTATTGATTTAATTTATTATTAAAAAGTTAATTAGGCTGAAAATTAAATTGTTTTGATTATTATTAATGAAATATAAATTTTTTTAAATAAACCGGTTACATTGATTACTATTTAGGGATTTTCTTTTTATTAACGAATCTGTCAGATTTCAAATAATCGAATAAAAAAATTCGAATACAAATTTTAATTTATTAATAAAACATTAAATTAATAAAAATCTTTACATTTTGAAATCTAATAAACATTTATCATTTTAAATTTATATTCTTCAATAAATAAATTAAAACAAATCTACAGTTTTTTTTTATTATCAAAAAATTAAGTTGCCGTCTTGATCACTGTAAACAATCAGCGGAAAAGTAATGACAGCAATTTTTTAAATACACCGATTTTTAGATAATATATGAACTAAAACGCAATTTAATTGCCAAATTTCAGTAAATAAACCACAAACAAACATTCCCAAGCCCGTTTTATCACCACGTAAGTTTTTGGATTAAACGTAAACCCAACCTATTTCAACAATATTTTAGGATCAAATAAAAGTTTTTCCTGCAATTATGGACTTATTACAAGAACTAAACGAAGCTATAACCGCAAAAAATAAGGCGGTGATTAAGTCGGCCCTAACCAAAATCATAAACGAAACTATAACATTCGAATTAAAAGGACCAAGCGCTTTCGTAGCTCTCCTTTCAATGCAAGATCCCGAAATTATCGAACTTACGTTTCAATGCATAGCCGAATTGGCTAAAGAAGATCAAAATCGTAAAGCGTTTACAGACGAAGTCCTNAACGTCAATTTTGACATATTTGTAATCGTCGTGAAAAATCCTGTAAAATGAGTCCAAACATGATACGTTTAATTCCAATATTACTCAAGATATAAGCAACTTCCGGTTTGAAATGTCAATGTCATTTTGACGTATTCTTAATTTTTATTAAATTTTTAATATTTGTCACAAAAGTAAAAATATAATAAAAAAAAAAATTAAAAATTAAGGTTGATACTAATATTTAAAAATTAAATTGCTATCTTCATTGTTGCTAACTTCGGGTTTAATGTTTTTTATTCTAACTTTTTTTGTTTGTTGAAATAAGTGCGTCATGTTTGGGCTCATTTTAAAGGTTATTTTATAAAGATTACGAATATAAACATGACATATTTATCGTCAATATTAATGACGTGTTTAATGACGTGTATGGTCAACTTCAGGTTTAAAATGTCAACCTTAATTTTGACATATTAGTAATCTTCATTAAAAATCCTTTAAAATGAGTACAAACATGACATATTTATCTTCAATATTAATGAAGTTATGGTCAATTTCCGGTTAGGAATGTCAACGTCGATTTTGACATATTTGTAATTGTCGTGAAAAATCCTTTAAAATGAGTCCAAACATGATATGTTTAATTCCAATATTACTCGAGATATAAGCAACTTCCGGTTTGAAATGTCAATGTCATTTTGACATATTCTTAATTTTTCTTAAATTTTTAATATTTGTCACAAAAATAAAAATATAATAAAAAAAAATTAAAAATTAAGGTTGGTATTAATATTTAAAAATTAAATTGCTATCTTATTTGTTGCTAACTTCGGGTTTAATGTTTTTTATTCTAACTTTTTTGTTTTTTGAGATAAGTGCGTCATGTTTGGGCTCAATTTAAAGGTTATTTTATAAAGATTACGAATATAAACACGACATATTTATTGTCAATATTAATGACATGGTCAACTTCCGGTTAAGAATGTCAACGTCAATTTTGACATATTTGTAATCGTCGTGAAAAATCCTTTAAAATGAGTCCAAACATGATACGTTTAATNAAGATGACTTAAAAACTTGTTTAGCTATTAATGGAACTTGCGAATTAATATATAATTTAGTAGAGCGATATGGAAATGAAGTTAATGATGAAGAAAGTAGAGCAGCTTTAAAAATCGCTTGTGATTTAATCGTATTAATATTAACTGGGGGTAAAAATTTTAATTTAAATTATTCTGTCCTGCAAGATTTTTGTACAGTTGATGAGTTGAGTGTTTTTGATTAATTTTGATTTGCTGATTTCAAATATGCCTTCCATTTTGCTGTAACACGTCACGTTTTTTTTATTTAGGTGTCTTATTTAGGCTAGATATAGGATTTTATAGGGTAACTATTAATTTTCGCTTTCATCTCTCTAAAACTATAAGACTTCTCAGAATAGACAGGCTCAAACTATTGAAAATTGGTTGGTTAGATTAACATCTTTCATCTTATCCATTTTACAAAGAGGTTTCTTAACACTTTCGCGACCGATCACGTATTTTTACGTTTTTATATTGTCTAAAGTCAGGCGCCGCTCACGTATTTTTACGTTTATATGACATTACTTGCGGCTCCTGGCGTAACAATACGTAGTGAAGATGCCGGCCATTGACGTTATCCTAATTGGTATATTGAGCGGACGCGAATATTTCTTTTTGTTTTGTTAAAAAAGATCACATATCAAAGTCGAAATCAGATTATTAATTACTAACTTACAAAATTAAAGTTTAAAAAGTTTGTTTTTAAAGTTTTTTCAACAAAAGAAATATTAAGAAACTTTTAATCACCCAAAAACACGTTAAAAATAAAAAGAATGTGCGAAAAAGTGACTAACACTAGGTTAACTTCAGTTATAAAACTTCTATTATATGTTAACTAACTTCAGGTTTAAAATGTCAACCTCAATTTTGACATATTAGTAATCTTCATTACATATTAGCAATTTCCGGTTTGAAATGTCAATGTCATTTTGATATATTCTTAATTTTTATTAAATTTTTAATATTTGTCACAAAAATAGAAATATAATAAAAAAAAAAATTATAAATTAAAGTTGGTATTAATACTTAAAAATTAAATTGCTATCTTATTTGTTGCTAACTTCGGGTTTAACGTTTTTATTCTAACTTTTTTGTTTTTTGAGATAAGTGCGTCATCTTTGGACTCATTTTAAAGGTTATTTTATAAAGATTACGAATATAAACACGACATATTTATCGTCAATATTAATGACATTATGGTCAACTTCCGGTTAAGAATGTCAACGTCAATTTTGACATATTTGTAATCGTCGTGAAAAGTCCTTTAAAATGAGTCCAAACATGATACGTTTAATTCTAATATTAGCAATTTCCGGTTTGAAATGTCAATGTCATTTTGATATATTCTTAATTTTTATTAAATTTTTAATATTTGTCACAAAAATAGAAATATAATAAAAAAAAAAATTATAAATTAAAGTTGGTATTAATACTTAAAAATTAAATTGCTATCTTATTTGTTGCTAACTTCGGGTTTAACGTTTTTATTCTAACTTTTTTGTTTTTTGAGATAAGTGCGTCATCTTTGGACTCATTTTAAAGGTTATTTTATAAAGATTACGAATATAAACACGACATATTTATCGTCAATATTAATGACATTATGGTCAACTTCCGGTTAAGAATGTCAACGTCAATTTTGACGTATTTGTAATCGTCGTGAAAAATCCTTTAAAATGAGTCCAAACATGATACGTTTAATTCCAATATTACTCTAGATGTAAGGAACTTCCGGTTTGAAATGTCAATGTCATTTTGACATATTCTTAATTTTTATAAAATGTCTTAAAATTTGTCACAAAAACGAAAAAATAACTAAAAAAATCAAAAATTAAGGTTGGTATTAATATTTAAAAATTAAATTGCTATCTTCATTGTTGCTAACTTCGGGATTAATGTTTTTTTATTCAAACTTTTTTGTTTTTTGAGATAAGTGCGTCATGTTTGGACTCATTGTAAAGGTTATTTCATAAAGATTACGAATATAATAATGAATGTTTCTAGTTATCGTTCTAGTTTTACTTCAATAAAAATATACAACATAATATCTTATGCTAACTACCACTGCCACTAGAACTAACACTAAACCGAGAACTAAAAACATTCAGATTTTAGTCCCACATCTCTTAAGACGGCTAAACCCGAATGATTCTAGTTCTAGGTCTTGTGTAACACTAGACCTAAAACTAGAAATATTCGGGTTTAGCCGTGCGTCTTCAGACGAATATTTCTAATTCTAGGTCTAGTGTTAGTTCTAGTTTTAGTGCAATAAAAATCGTATCTAAGTCGGTTCTTAGACGTATGATGGAAATCGGACTTAAACTCGTATAACGTGATTGCCTCTTAGCTTTATCCTTTAAAACAGATAGTATTTTAGGTCTTTACTTACCAGACAGCATGAAAATCTCAAACACGATAAAATGTCGCTTAGTCAAGTGATGTATAACGCGGTCCAATTTGATATTTGGCACCTTGATATAAGGTGAAGTCTTGATATACAGGTCGCTGATATGTATGGAAACGGTCGATTATCTCCTAAAGTAAGATAGCTAGTGAAAAATGTTAAGATACAAAAGTATTAATGTTTTTTAAAGTCTATTACAATAAAGACAAATTAAGTATACAGGGTCAGTCAAAAAATTATGATGAAACAAAGTTACGTTTTCTTTGCCTGTATATTATTCCATATTTTGGTTCATATCGAAATTCTAAACAAAATTCATGTAGCACATCATGGAATACCAACATGGATATACTAACATCACTATTTTTAAGAACATTTTAAAATTTTATTTGCAAATTGTTGGTTACATAATGTAATTCTAAATAACTTTTATTTGAAATTTTTTTTTACTTCATTTATAATTTCTCAGAAAAAAAATAAACGAATTCAAAAACACATTGATATAAGGTGAAGAGATAACATTTAGTTAACAGCTTTTACTCATCATCATCAGCTTCTTCGATTAAATTCTAACAAACATCCCCTAAACAGGTAATCTAATTATTTTCTACTGAACCAACTTTCAAGTGGTGCTATTATCTTTTTTTTTCTTTATATATTATGCATAACACAATTAAACAAGATAATGTTTTACAGCTTTTTCCAATGGTCCAGTCTGTTTTACACATAATATAGATAAATATGATCATATTTTTACCGTTTTAAACACATATTTAAGTAGTCATCTTTGATCAAGATGCCAAATATCAAATTCATTGCATCTGCAGTTGCCCTATAAAACCATATAAAAATAGTCATATTTGAAATCAGCAATGTAAAACTAACTAAAAACACTCAACTGATCTACTGTACAAAAAAAAAGTTAAAGTTTGCAGCACAGTGTTATTATTAAATAAAATAAATTATTTTAATTTTAAGATGAAGCAATGAATTTGTTGTACGATAATGGAAACGGGATAGTTTACGAGCAAATGATAACGTGGATGGATTCTTCAGATCCCGATTTAGTAAGCACGGCTGTTTTGGCAATCGGAAATTTCGCTCGAAGTGACGCCCATTGTATTAGTATGGTGGAAGGGGAATTATTTCGCAAATTAATTGGTAATTCTTAGCTTATTAATTAGCTTTATTAATTCTTATCTAACCGAAATTATTAGCTCTTTTAGCAAAAAATAACAAAAAGGACGCCGACATTAAGATACAACACGCACTTTTAAGCACGTTGCGCCATTTAAGCATTCCACCGCAAAACAAATTTAAATTAATTCAAGAGAATATAATCGAAATTATGTACGAAATGATCGACATCGAAACTTCACCAGTTGTTTTTAAATTAATGGGAACATTTAGAATGTTAGTTAATGGACAAGGTGATTATATTTTTATATTATACACTGAAATTCCTCTAACTTGGGCTGAATAATAATTAAAACTAGAATTAATATTGGACCTAGAACTAGAATCATTTGGGTTTAGCCATCTTTAAAGACAGTAAACCTGAATGATTTTAGTTCTAGATTTAGAGCAATAAATAAGTGGTATAGAAAGAGTATACAAAGGGGGCAAAATGAAAATAGTACTGTACAGTAGAAGTTGCCGGGTAGTACGAGTTACTGGCTATTCTCAGCCGGCGCTTCAGTGCACTCACCCCTCTCCACAGTCCCTACCTGTTTTCACAGAATAATTACACAGTTATTCTGTGCTGTTGTTGTTCAGTGCGGTCATTGACCTATATTCGTCTTCAGTCATCACTAGCCTTTGTGTGCCTCACCATCAATTTTTGTACGTTGTTTAGAAGTGTGGAAGTTCATGCATTGAGTGTCGTCAATGCTGTTTTGTCTCGTCACCGCAAAATGTGCAGCTTTCACATTGTCTTTTGTGCGATAAAATATTTACTAGTAATGAAGCCATGAAACCTTCGCGAATGAAAGATCATTTATCAAGATCGTTATAGTTATTTTCAACGTAGTTGAAATCATCATAGGCGAAGGCCCCAGTAATAAGATAAGTTAATCGGTTTCTTTGAGCAACAATGCTGTTTGCTATCTAGTGCCAACTAGCGCTACTTAGAACTGTCACTAGAACTATCACTTTACCTAAAACTAGACACATTATGGCTTAGCCGCACGCTTTTAAAGACGGCTAAACCCGAATGTTTAGTGTTAGTTCTAGTTCTAATTGTTACTAAGCGCTAAATTGTTGTCTATTTTTACTGAAATAGAAATAACATTAGAACATTGTAGCACTTTTGCAGTGCGTACTAGTATTTACTTTAAATCGTAAGGTTCCAGAGGCGGCGCTACCGGGGGGTGCAAGGGGTGCACTGCATCCGGGCGCCGCTTAAAAGGGGGTGCCGGCGCCTTTTTAATGTTTTCTCCAACAATATGTTATCTTTCTTTATTTAGCTTGTCAGCAGTAGCTAGTCTTCAGAAAGCAGTATTTAGTCTCCACAAAGCAATTTTAGTTTTTAGAAAGCAGTATTTAGTGTTCCAGATGCTGTATTTAGACCTGTCGGCAGTATCTAGTCTTCAGAAAGCAGTATTTAGTCTTTTAGAAGCAGTATCTAGTCTTCTGCCAAAGTTATGTATGTTTTCTCCAAAATATTTTATCTTTCTTTTGCAGTATTTAGACCTGTTAGCAGTATCTAGTCTGCAGAAAGCAGTATTTAGTGTTCCAGACGCTGTATTTAGACCTGTCGGAAGTATCTAGTCTTCAGAAAACAGTATTTAGTCTTCTAGAAGCAGTATCTAGTCTTCTGCCAACGTTATGTGTGTTTTCTCCAACAATATCTTATCTTTCTTCTGCAGTACTTAGACCTGCTAGCAGTATCTAGTCTTCAAAAAGCAGTATTTAGTCTTCTAGAAGCAGTATCTAGTCTT